GAATGCCTCTGGCACCAGCCCAAGGGCCGTTTAAAGGCAGGACGCTGAGCAGAGCTTGCCAGTTGTTTAAGTGGTCTCTCTTGATCTGAATTAAAAGAATTAAAATTCTTGATGGATTATGGGTTGTAGCCATGACAACAAATTCCCTCCCTTTCTCTTTTTTTCTGCAATTGTCTTGTAGTTCAGAGATGTTGCCAAACAAAACCCCTCAATTTTTTTTGTTAAAACTAATGTTTCAGGTAAGAGCAGCATTAAATTAAAAAGCAAAATAAATGGTCATCAGCAGTTTGATGACTGTATGTTTTATGCCTGGTATCTTCTTATAAAACTGGAAATCTCTTGACTGTGCAAGTCTATAAGGTTTTTGTTCAGTGGTATTAGAGGGACTTTTGCTGGCCTAAAAGAAGTGGGGATAATTACTAACAGGAGTTCTTGTGCAGTGTATACCTGTAATAGTTAAAGGGAAAGCTGCTTAAATTTTTTCTGACAATTGCAGATATAGCACTGGAGGAATCATTTGAATTCTTCGTTCTGCAACAAGGAAAGATCCCACTTGTCTTCTCTTTAGAAATGAAATCCCAGTCTGATTTAAAATACACTTTTATGGGCTGGTTTCCTTTTTTTTTTTTAAGTAATTTTGCCGTTTCGAGACTTCTATTATAATTACCTGTGAATGTAGGTTTTTGAAGAAAATTATTCTGATTTCTAAAAGAAAGGAAAAACTGGGGTTTTTTTTTACATGAACTGCTTCTTGTAGAGTAAGTTTAATGAAATTCAGCTTGCTTTCATAAATAATGCAGCACTTGCATTTGATTAGGTGAAGCCTAGTGGAATTTCTACCTAATCAGATGCATAGCAGGAAGGGTATTGCCTGCGGACTGTTACCATTATCAATGGTGGTGGCAAGAAAAATACAGCTCCATGTGTGTCTGGATAGAAAGCTTTGTTTCGTAAAAGAAGTTGCAAAACAAAGTATATGTGTTCCAACAATTGATTCCTTGGGTCTCAGAGTGTCCTGGCTATTTGGAAAATAAGGTCTGGGTTCTGAGTGTTATCATTATTGTGGCATGAAGAGACTCCAGGTTAACTGGAGACCTCCTTGTACTGCTGATGGGTTTCTGATCCTTCCAAGAAATAAATACATGTGGGGAAGAGACAATCTTTGCCTCAGAGAGCTTATGGTCAAAATGAGCAAGGTAGACATCGGGAATCATTGGGACCAATTCCAAAAGTCTTGAAAAACAGCACAAATCTCCCGATAACATAAAAATGGAGAAAAAAGGTATGTGTGCCACCATTCCTTGAAAAAATAGATCACATACAGCAAAAAGCAAAATAGTTTGCAAATGGTGTATCTGTAAGTTTTGCAGAAACATTTTGAGAGTTCTTGGGTAAATGTTGCTTTAATTAGTCACCTGTGGTCAAGTTTTATGATGCTCTGTAAATCCAGCCACAAGACTTTGTTCTACTCTGGTTTTATCCCCAGGAAGCTGTTATTAACAGCAGTGGGTGTGCATGAACAGAGGGTAGTTTGAGTAATGCCATTAGTCCTTTAGTCATCATCCATTTTAATAAATAAAAAAGGGCCTGGTCCCCATTCTCTAGCCCTGAAGCCAACTGGCATAAATTGACCTGCAAGCATTCAGTAGGTGCTTGTATCCTCCGAGAGACAGTGGCTGAGCCCGAGCTGGCTTTTGGGACCAGACCCCGGTCTGGGCTCAGCCATGGACCACTCCTGGGAACTATTTGAGGGTGGTGTAAACCAGTTAGGGATCGTGTTAACAGTACAACAGCGTGGATGGTCGTGGGCTCAGGCTCTGGCTCTGGTTACTTTATTAGAGGTGATGCTCTCTTAGGGCTTGGTTATGCTCTGGGCCAAACTCAGTTGAGTGGCATGTTACTCTACCGCCATAATGAAGTAATATTCCATATAAAAGTGTAAAGAACTGAACCCTAATGGCAAAGCCCAACACCACTGCCTTATCTCACTGTGCTCAGATTTTTCTCCTAATGTTTGTTCAGATATGTAAAATTGCAAATGTCGGAAGTTCTTCGGGCCAGATGCTAAGTGGATTTAAGCTGAAGATTTGTGCTAGCTGAGGTTCTGGTTTTTCACTTACATTTCTTGGAAAGGGCAATGAGACGTAATGAATAAATGTAAAACACAAGAAATAGAGCCCAGGATGCATAGGAGACATGCTTGCATCCTGTGCTTCGCTGTTGAGAGGTTTTAGTGCAGAGCTCAGAAGTGTATTTATGGAGCTGCTGGTCAGAACTGTGCAATTTAAAGGTGAAATCAGTTCTCTTTTTTAATCTTGAGTTTTCATTCCTCTCCAAATTGGTGCAAGCAAATCTCCTGGGCCTAAAATGTCACGGGAGCACTAGAGGCCAAGAACAGAATTAATTTCTGAAAGTTTGAGAGCAAAACCATCAGATTTAGGGCTGTAAAATGTTAATCTGTTTCTGACTTTCCCAAGAATTGTCTGAAATACTTTTGCCCGCTCATAACTCAAGCAACTTCATGTCAGATATTAGAGCTGTTTTTATGTGTGAGTACTGACAGAAGTAGTGCACGGCTTTGATCATAACCAACTGGGAAAAAAGCCTCAAAAATGTAACTCCCAAACCTGTTTTGGTCCCAAACAACATCAAAATCCCATGGAAGAAATGGGAAACAAGGTTGAGCCCTCGGTCATTTGCCCTACGGTAGATAGGACGTTCTTTGCTCAAGATCCTGGTCAAGGTATCACACAGAGCTGCATCCCAAGTGCTGAAGAGCAAGTGAGCTTGGTCCTTTCCATTGCCCCCCTGCTGTTGCTGTGGAAAGCATTTCTCCCAGCCTGCTTCTGCTGGGAAGGCTTTTCCTTGATGACCAGTGGATTTTTTTTAGGCCACTCAACACTATACCCTCATCACCATCTTGTCCTTTGCTGATGCTTCTTCAAGCGCAGGCAGCCTCTCATACCCTGAAATGTGCAGGCTCATTGGGTAGCTTCAGTGATGAAAAGAAATGCTGTTTCTGTGCCAACTGCAGTCTAGCCTTGGATTTCCTACTCTTTGCTCCTCTGTGACAAGATCAGTTAGGGAACTCTTCAAAAATTAGTTGAGCAGGGAGTGCAGGTAGCATGGGTGAATGGCCACTGGGTAGTGCAGACACTTGAGACGCGTAATCTGCACCTGAGACCTTGCAGCAAGAGAAGTGGTTACCTCTGAGAGACGGGTTGCTAATCTGTACGTGAGGGATGTTGAGAGAGTCCACAGTCGTTAGTTACTGCGAGTGGTGGACGCTACCTTTATCCTTTGTCAGTAGAACAGGCGAAGTTTTAAAAACGTGGCTGCATCCTTGCACGCTCTCTCCTCGACTGTGTGGCTTTGTAGTTGTTTGCTTGGTGTTGAGTGGAAAAAGGATTTTGGGACTCTTACTTAGTTGTAGGAGGCATCCTGGGCTTGTTACTGGTGCATCTCCACTTCTCCTGGAGTTCCCTTGTGTGTTCCCAGCTTCACCCCCAAGTAATACCCTGCCAGAATCACTTACGTGCAGTGGAGCAAAAATGTGACTGATACAAATGTTGCAGCAGTGTATAAAATGCTAAATTATTCATGGTACTTAAGCACAGAAAATCCCAGGGCTGAACTGACATAATGAAAAACTCCAGGCAAAAGAAACCCACCATGGAAAGTCTTAGATTAAAACCAGTTGCAAACTTTAGAGTCAGACTGTATTATAGAGTCTTAATCCCTTCGTCTTCCTTTAAGTGCCCCTCCTCATGCTGTACTCTGGGCTATCATACCCAACTACTTTTAATGTCATTGTCCACATCACTTTCCCATGAACAGGGACCTAAGGCAAAGAAATGTCAGACGACTTGTCCGGTCCGAAATAGAAAATCTGTCGTGGCAGCAGGATTTGCAACTAGATCTTCTCAAACCGAAGTCTTGACCATCATAACCTGCTTCCTCCCTATCAAGAATGAAATGATCATCTGGAGGAGTTCAGTGGGCAAGCACCGGTGCACTGTTTCATACCAGAGCATGAGACCTTCTCGCACAGCTGGTCTCCCAGCTTGCCTGGGACCTCAGTATGCTACTGTCATAGATTTATTTATCATAATGAACCTCAGTTTTCACCCGTCAATAACACAAAGGGTCCTGGGTACTAAATCTTGCCCTGGATCACTTTCACCTCTGGAGTATTCTGGTGAAAGACCTACAAAGCAAAATATTAACGTGGGAGCACAACTTTGCCTGAGAATTTAAGCAGCTGAATGGACCATGATGTGCTTCTTAATTCATGGAGAATTTTAAGAGATGCACTGGGCCCAATATGTAGTGTTATAACTGAAACAGGTAGATGTAAAGACCAACAGATCAGTTAAAAGCAGAACCGAAGGAAGCGGTAAAAAAATAAAACTAGGAACTTAGGGAATTCATACTGTTAAGCAGTCTGTTTCCAGATTTTTTTATCATTTTGCTTGGTCCTGAAAACATTGTTCAACAGCTGATTTCAAGTTTCCTTTTGCACTTTATTATCACTTTTATTGTGGAAAACTGATTAAAAAAAAAAAAACAAAACAGATCAATTTAAACAGTGTTTTGTTGGTTTCTGTATAAGTCAAAACATATTTCCATTGAAAACATATTTTTGACAAAGCAGTTCTTGCTTGTTTGAAAAACATTTTGAATAAAGACATTCAAGCTGCTTTAGTCACTTTGCCTTTTACTTGGAGTGTAAAATAGGCTTTCAAAGGTGTTCCGTGTTCCCTTTTGCCCTGGAGGCATATGGGAACTGTAGGAGAAGATCTGATCTGCAATCTCTTTGGGAGTTGAAAAGGTTCCTCAGGATCCCATCAGGACCTGCAGCAAATGAAGGGAAAACAGTGTTTCATAGCTGACGTCCTTCGCTCTACCGAGTGCCAAATAGCAGTGGTGGCAGCATTAGTGACCTCTGCTTTATGTGTTAGTTAATGAGTGTCTGTAACTTGATATTTCATTTTTCCTAGACTGTACCCTCGTCACGCAAGTGCTCTCAACAACTTGGGGACGTTGACCAAAGACGTGGTGGAGGCAAAGGACTACTACAGACGGGCCCTTCGGTTAAATCCTCAGCACAATCGAGCTCTCTTCAATCTCGGCAACCTGCTCAAGTAAGTTGAATGCAGAACTGGCACCAAGGAAATTCACATTCTCTCTACACTCAGCACCAAAGTAGTTTCTTCTACCAACTGGTGAACAAATGTTGTTATTTCTTATTGCCAGCCAAGGGTGCCGGCACAAAGGTGAGGCTTAACTTGGGTATCCTTATGCTGTCTGCCACATCACTTCAGGTGCTGTTTACACTTGTGTTTCAGCTGGAGGGAATGCACTTGTTCCAAATCAAGCATCAAAGAATGAGGTGCCTAAACCCAACTAGTCACCTGAGACTCCCATCTCAATGGAGAGGTGTAAGCCTTTCCAGTGGAGCAAGCCGTGTTGTTCAAAGACAGGCACCTGATGCAGATCTGATAAATAACACAGATCCAACAAATCCCTCTCTGCAAGTTCCCACTTCTCCTCATTAGCTGTATGGAAGGTCAATGCGTAGTTTAGGCATAAGCACCTAACTCTGAGGTGCTCACAGCAGCAGCAGAAGGTTCATCCCATTGCAGAGGGGGTGGGTCTGGATTTGAGGGGAAAGCTGGCTTATATCCCTATACGGTTACTCTGCTAAGCAAGAAAACAAGTTAATCAGCCCATAATTTCACTCCTTGTTATTTACAGTGTCAGCCTTTAGCAAGGAGAATAGCAGACGATCATAATAATGCAAATTAATTTGACTAACCATATCTAAAGACTGAACTTAAATCTATACAAGAAGCTTTGCCAGTATGATAAGATCTGCTAGGGGTGCAATTAAAAAATATGTATCTCTCTCTATTCCTGCATTACTATTTTGCACCAGCAAAAACCCCCTAGTTTTTGTGAGGGTAGCATGTTATTTGCTGACAGAACTGCATAAACTACAGCAGTAACAGTACAATTTTTGCTGATATAAACTGCACCTATTTTGCTGGTAATAGGTCTCTGGTAAATCTTTTAGAGCAGATCAGGCTTTAGTTGGGCTGGTTTTAAAGTGGCACTGTCTCATCAAAACATACCTGGTCTCTCTGGTTCTGAAATGTTACTTTGAGTGTGAGTTTATATTACAGATATTAAGTGTATTGCTGAAGTTCTGCTGGGTTCATTCAGTAGTGGAGTAGTTATCAGAATAATACTACAAGTAAACCTGACGGTTTGGGGTTAGAATATGGCAGCTGGGTAATTCTTAAATAGAAAGTAGGTGAGTGCTTTACTGGAAATACTCACAAGAAAGGAAAATGGTAAAGACCGTCTTATTACAAGAGAAATGGAAGGTCTTTGTATTATTCATCAGATTTGGTTGATTGAAATTAATCTTAGGTGGCAATGCTGTTTAAAAATTGTCCTTTTAATCCATCATGTTTGCCTTAGTTATTATTCTCTGTGATTTTTTTTTTTTAAATATAAAATATTAACCAGAAGCAGCACCAGGACATCCCATGTCCATAACGCTTAAGTCTGGCCTGTTGATGCACTCTTGTGACCCAGCAGATGGGTAGAAACTGGATTTGTTGCACTGGCAAAGCACAAAGGGGACCTGAGAAAGTCTCTTAGAACTGCTGTTTGTTTTGTGTGCAGTATGTCATGTTTTTCCTAATGTGATAGTTAAGATATTGTGTATCCTGTTGTACTGTATGTGCTCTGCATCTTTCTATGGTGCTATATATTGCAGTACATTAAAGGTGTGTGATGCTTGTGCTGAACTTGTTAAAAGAAAGTGCTCAGGTTCCACCTGCCCTTTTCCTACACTCATTTTATTCCCATTTTCTAGACTGTTTTTTTAGCCTTCCAAAACAACCTACTGCATCTGGACACACCAATGGTATTAATTATAATGGAAACTGGGTGTGCTCATCTCCCTATTCAGCTTTAAAAAAACCTGCTGAAAAATAGGTAGAGTTCATGGTGGAGGGATTAGCACATACGTAAAGCAGATGCTGCGCAGTCAGATCCTATATGAATGTCTCCCCTAAGACACTAGCCCACACCCCTTTGCCAGGACCTTTCATGGATCATACATCAACTTAGCAGAGATCATCAGGCATGCTGGAGCATGAGGTGACTTGTGAGATGACCAGGCAGCAATGAGGCAGAGATTTCAAGCTCCCCCTTCCTACAACTTTGTTTTTATTTATGTTTTCTACCTGGCTCTCCAAATTACCTTTTCATATATATGTATATAGGGCAACCAGTATTCTGCAAACACTAAATGCTAGCATAATCTCGGTAATAAATGAAAATCTGCAGAATATTACAGGCATATATTACTTTCTGGCTGTGCTATGAGACATTATGAAGAGTGTTTTGATTTTTAAACATATGGCAGAGAAAGGATAAATGGTCAAGCCATAAAAGCTTTTCCTGTCCTCTTTGCAGAGGCTTCAGTGCATGGTGCAGATCAGGAAGAGCCAGATCTGTAACACTTAAGGCTTATGTCCAGTAACAGCACTTCTTGTGCTGAGGCGCGTCACAAAACTGTCTGGCGTGGGGAATTCCCAGTTGAATTCTGCTGAGTTCCTTATACCCACCCCTGCTTGTAGTGTGAAAATCTGATGGTGGATATTAGATTTCACCTCCTCTGGAGTGCTGAGAAAGGGGATCTCCAGGATTTTGGAGGGAGGGGTTTGCTATTCCCTTGTGGGAATCTGCCTCTCATTATTCCCTGTAAATAAGCTCTCTATTTAAGCATCCAGTGCTTGTGATTTAAGCTGGAGTAAAAATCTGGTTTGAGGACCACAGGGTGGAATTCTTGAGTTTTTGTCTGCAGAAGTCCTAGATGAAAAAGGATGTTTCCGTTTTCTGTTTGCACACAGTGTAGACAGCTATGTGACGGAAGATGAATGTTGTCAGGAAGCAATGCAGGGTAATGGCTGAATAGGCCTCTGGTTTTGCTTACACATCCTACAATAAAGTTGTATGTCTTCATTTTCTTGCCTATTATAAATATTGGAGAGTAGATAATTAAACAATGCCGACAGATTTCTTAGTCAAAATAGACCCAAAAGATGGCCTACCTAAAAGTGAGAAACCTCTTTCTCCGCTTTCGTGGTACGTGATCAGTGACACAGAGCAGCCTGATGTTGCTTTCTTGTGTTTTGTTTTGAAGTTTCCTATTATATAAATATTTAATTCCTCTATATAGATTCAGTTTTGTTGAGATACAGGTTGAAAAACTGAGATAAATATCATTCAGAATATCTCGCAAATTTATAGCCTGTGGGATTTTCTGTAAAGAGACAAGAAATAAAATATTATGAACATTGAAGTAAATATTTATCTCAGCTTTCTGTTGCAGGAAGAATGGGAGAGGCCGTCTTATTTGCGGTACTTTATCTATCCATACCTAAAGCACTCCAATATTCAGTACACTACTTCTTATGAAGAAAAGCCTCATAACTCTTGTGTGCTTTGAGAGTGTTATGGTGTGTTTTCAAGAGGAAAGTGAAATGCCTAGAAACAATGTCCACTGAAATGTTGAGTTTATTCAAAGGACTGATTCTCTTCTGAATGTAGAGTAACACATAATGTATCCTGTGTATTTGTTGCTGTGATTTAGTCCACGTTTAGCAAACCCATGTATTCAGAGGAAGGAGGACTGCATGCCTTCTCTGATACAGGCTTGTGGATATGTGTGTATGTGAATGTGCTGACAGGCTTGTGTAACTGTCTGAAGATGCTGAAAAACATCAGATAGATATTACATGTATTGCGATTTAATATCTTTCAGAGTGAAACATTCCTCCCTTCCATTCGAAGAAGCAAACTGAGGGATAATGTTCAGTGGTACTGCATCTGGCTTTCTGGATGGTCTCTGGTTAGGATACTCTGCGTTGCATGAAGTGCTGTAGTTATCCCTCAGTATCACATACACGTCGTAGCCTGTTTATAAAAAAACCTCCAACTCTGGCAGTGTCAAATTTACAGTAGATTAAAAAAATAACTTCAGTTGGAACGGACCTCTGGAGATCATCTGGTTGAGCCCGCTGCTCAGAGCAAGTCTAATTGGATCAGGTTGCTCAGGGCTGTGTTCAGCTGAATCTTGAACACCTCCAAGACAGAGATGCCACAATCTCTCCATGCAACCTGTTCCAGTGTTTGACCACCCTTGTGGTGAAAAATATTTCTCCTTATATCTAATAAGAATTTCGCATGTTCCTACTTGCATCTGTTGCTGCTTGTCCTGTCACCATGCACCTCTGAGAAGAGTTTGGCTCTGGCTTCTCTGTATCCTCCAACCAGGTAGTTGCAGGCAGCACTGAAGTCACCCCTGAACCTACTCTTCTCCAGGGTGCACAGGCACAGCTCACTCAGGCTCTCTTCAATGCAATGGGTGCTCTAGCCCTGACCTCCTTTAGTGGCCCTCTGTTGGGCTTCCTCCAGTAAGTCCATGCCTTTCTTGCACTGGGGAGCCCAACTCTGGACAGATGTTGCTCCAGGTGTGGTCTCACAAGTATCATATAAAGGGGAAGGACCATTTTCCTGGACCCACTGTTGGCCGCCTTTGCTATCTAGGCTACATTGCTGGCCTGTGGTCAACTTGATGTCCACCAGGATCCCAGTCGTCCCCCAACCGGTGCTTGTGCATGGGGTTCTCCCACTCCGGGTGCAGGACTTGCATTTACTTTTGTTGAACTTCATGAGGTTCCCGTCAGACCTGGTCACTCTGAAAAGCAGCCCTGCCTTGCAGTGTATTGCCCGCTCCCCCACTTTGGTGCCATCCACTTAGTACAGATGAATGGCAAAGGAGTGCATCTAAATTATCTGAATCAGTTTTAAACCAGGCAGTCAAACAGGCTTAGGGGCCTCCTTTCAGACAGGCAGAGTTAGACACTGCAAGCTCCCCTTGGATTATGATGTGAAACCAAGACGAGATGTTCAGAACAGTTGTGGAGCCCTTGTTGATTTCTGTGCTTCTGGCTTTAATGCAGTCAAACTAACTTCACAAAGGAAAACAAATCTTGAAAGTTGAAAAGTCCTCTAGAGCACTAGTTTCTAGGTTACTCTTTCTGTTGCAAATGGAATTTGCTCCAGTGCTAACAGCCCACAGCCCCATGCATCACCCGACTTCTGTGGGGTGGTTTAAGCTGATGCTTCTCCAGCTGTGGGGCACTTGCAAAATATGGAAGAGATGCTCCCAGTGGAAAGAGCTGTTCCTTGCTCTCGGCTTGAGCATGGTGATTGTAGAGGGGAGGCTGGGATCTCGAGTGGAAGAGGGAGTCAGGAGGGTATTGTAAGGCTAGGTAATTTGGGGAAAAATTGGATTAAATGATCATAGACTCTCCGTGTCAGTTGAATTTGTTCCTCTCTCTGTCATAGTGAAGGTATACATTACCTAGCTTTTCCTGCTCCAGATCCCTAGTTTATGGTAGTGTATCGGACTGTTCTTCCAACACTCTGTGCTCTCCCAAATTGCGGGAGATTTATATAAGCAACGGCCTCGATCCTGCAAAGTGTTGGCCTTGATCCAGGAAAGCACTTCAGCCAGTAATTAATTTTCAACTTGCATACATAAAAGTTAAGTACGCGTTTAAGTACTTGGCCAGAGTGCTTGGTATCTTGCAGGCCTGAGCCCTCTGAGAAACTACTGGATCTGCTTTTTTTAATGTAATTCAGTCTGTCACATAAAAAGATGCCATAATCTTTCCTACTCTACCCCCATTTTCAGGAGACAAACATTGTTCTTGGATCAAATGAAAAAAAAGGCCATTTTGAAAAAAAGAGTAATTAAGAGGGCTGCCCCATGTTCAGAGTGCATGCTTGTGGTTAATGGGAACTTTTACTGCTGCTGGGTGGATCACTTAATCCTTTTATTTCTGTAGCGGCATTTCCTACATTTTTTTGCCAAACATCAATACCTTTATAAAGCAGTCATCTGTTTTTGATTTATAAAAATGTGTCATGAAACTCCAGCCAAGGGATCCAAAAGTTTTATAAATTGACAAGCTAGCTAGTCTTTAATTAGTGTAGGAGAAAAGTGGTTCTTTATTTGTTTTTGCTTCATTCGTGTAACTTATATGGAACACCACTGGAAGAAGAAAAAGTCTAGCACAACTGGTTTTACTTAGCTTAATACACAGGCAAAATATTCTTCCAGTTACACAACTAGAAAGGGAAAAAATCTGCAAAGCCACATATATTATCAGCTGAAATTTGCACCTTATAAACAAGATCTGGTTACTTGACCGTGTCACTCAGATGAAATCTAAGGCCAAAGTGGCAAGGTGTTCACATATTTTCTGTGTCCCAGAGCCCTTTGTTTCTTTTTGTAAGCCCTGCTATTCATATTCTTTGTATGCCCAACACAAGGAAAATGTTGTTCCAGTCTTGCTAAACATCCTTAGATATTTGTTCAGGAAACCTTCTCATTTTTCCAAGGAAAGAAATACGGAGCGATACTGGAGAAAGTGTAGCTCAAATAAATAAACACCCTTAGATTTTAGTTCAGGAAACCTTTTCCATTTTCCATGGCAATAAATGCAGAGCAGTGCTGGGAAAAAAACCTAGCTCATCAGCATAGCCGTCTCTTAACTATCTCTGATCATAATCCTTAGGATCTGAAGAACAGACTCCTCTAGCCTAATGATCAAGTTGCTAAGGAATTATTTAGAGATCCCCGGCAGATTTAACTTAGCAATATTTTAATTTCAAAGTATTAATTTAACTAAGTCATAAGTGGATCTACATCAGCACTCGTTGTCTAGGAACATGCAAAGACCCTGCAGGCTTTTTTTAAGGAAATGCAAATGTCTTGGTGTCTCCAACCTACTGATGTGAGAGCAGGGTTGGTGAGAGCAAGTGTCCTGTTCCCAGGTCAGTCAGTGCCTCAGTGACGTGACTGGGGCCAGACCTCCAGAAGCTGACAGCAAACCCGGTGTTACCCCACCAGCATCCATTCCCATAGGGCATGTGACTTCCCAAGGACATCGCTGGGAGGCTCTTGTGCAGTACTTCATGCCTGGGGATGCTTTTGCTATCTTGTCCTTCATGTATCTTTAACTCCTGATGGGATGAATGGGGCAGAATTTGATGTATTTGCCATAAAGAGAAATAATTGAGAGGAGATATACAGTAGGACTGGAGAAGTTTACAAAACCTGGTGGTTATGACTCAACAGACGGAGCCTGTGGCCTGTACTGCCTGATAGGCAAAATAAAATACTACTTGCTCTTCAGTGCGTGGGGTTGAGGAATGCACTGTTTTGGGTGTGTTTTGTTTTCACTGGGATCATTGCGTAGGGCTCAGTATGACACTCACCAGCATAGCAGACCAAATGGCAGATTCATTAAAGCCTATGTCCTCCCAGCTCCTGTGAATAACATATGGGAACAGCGATGGGCCGAGGAGATGCTGGGTACGCACACAGTGGAGAGGAGGCGCAAGTGAATCATTTGGTCTTTGCTGAAAAGGTCAAGCCGGGGACTTTCATGTCTCTTTAAAGTAGTGGGATGACCTAAACATGTGCTTTCAGGAACATTTCTTTCTTTTTTTCCCTCCTTCCCTGTCCTGCAGGTCCCAAGGGAAGAAGGAGGAAGCTGTAATCCTACTGCGGGACTCCATTAAGTACGGCCCAGAGTTCGCAGATGCTTACTCAAGCCTGGCCTCGCTGCTAGCCGAACAGGTAACGGGCGTCGCTTGAGCTCTCGTGCCTTCTGCATGTGTGTATGCTCTGCTGCCACAGCTGCAACACCTCCTGCGCATCCCAATGGAGCACCCTTGCCTTGCACGCATGCAGTGGCAGGCGTGAGTCCGCGGCTGCCTGCAGAGAGCTCTAAGGCTGCTTTAGAGATGACTTTTTCAGGATAGGAGGCAACTCATTTGCAGTGAGTAATTACACCCACATGGTATGGCTCTGAATTAAATCATTGTTGAAGTTGTGAGTAAATACCCTCTCTGCAGCTCCCTGCATCTATGGCGAAGTCTTAATCCATCGCACCTTGAATGTTGTGACAGCAGAATAGGCGAGTGCTTCCCCCTCAGACACACACGCCTACGCAGATAACCTTGAGATTTCGTAATAAATCACTCCAAAACTAGGAAATGTCAGAAACCAGGTGGCCTCTGCAGCTCAGATTCCGCCCTTTGCATGCACGCATTGGAATACAGCCCTTAGTTACCGTGGTAGATGATCATGTACGGGGGTGGGAGGGCTAGCTAGCTTTATGTTGCTCTTAATGAGCAGCTGTTTGATATTTTATTTAACCTCATTGTTCAGTATGTGCCCCCAGGCCTTATTTACTGCGCATGGCTCAGGCTGCACTCTGGAGGCAGGATTACTCATTTCCTCTCGGGCTTGTTCCCCACGCTCATTACCTGGGGCTCTCACTACTCTCTGTAGTTAGATAATTTATTTCTACAAGGTCCCTGTGAGGTGAAATATTGTCCCCGTGGAGGAAAAGGGAAATTGAGGCACAAAGTGCTTGAGTTCAGAAGAAGCCACAAATGTGGATGACCACCAAGCCCTGCTTTTCCCCACGCCTGCAGCAGCATATGAGGGATGCTGTGCTCTGGGCGTTGCTCCCATGGACTGCGGCCACAACCAGTGGCCCCAGTCTGGGGCTGCAGGGCTGGGTGACGAGGTCCTCATAACTGCACAGCTCCAGCACACCTCTGCAAACTTTTGAAAACCGATTTTTTTTGTCTCCCCCAAGTTTCAGATCTAACTGTTCCATAGCACAGGGTGCTAAAGCTTTCTTAAAAGGTTGCCAAATGCAAATACAGGCAAAGCAAAAGAGTGTCATCTTTCCCTGTTTTCCATTAATCTGGTTAGTGAAATCTTCTCTCTGTAAGGGACGTGGATAAATTTCAGCAAAACTATAAGCAGTGATCTTGTTCTGGTTTAGGCTTCTTTAATGATGTAGGCACACTGCAAAACTCGCCTATGATATATGTGGATTAGTGAAAGATGTGCTATTTTGTTTTCCCTTTTAAGTGACTCAAATATTTGAATATTATCAATATCAGCTGCAGGGACCTAGAAATATAGTACATGAATTGAAAGAAGAGCCTTGTTGAATGGGAACTGTGTTTTGAATAAACCCATCAATGAAGAGTCTCCTGCAAGTATAGGAAATGAGTCCTCCGCAGTAATACCTGGTTTTAATATTAATTGAAATTATTAATTAGAACCATCGATTGTAAGGTCAACAGAGCAATAAAACCATTATAGAGTCCCAAGGCCTTCTGCCCAGAGCAAATGCCATTAGTAAGTCCAGCAATAATTAATCTCCTCTTACTTATAGATTGTTCATCCTCTTGTGACTTGAGTAAGCGGTAGGGAAAAGAGATAGTACAATTTCCTCAGAAAATAGTAATTTCCTGCAGGCTTTTAACACCTTCTCATGTTCAGCCACAGCAGATGACTACCTGATTGTGCAGCTCCTGCCTTGCACACCCATCCTAGTGACCGCAGTGGGGGCTGTCCTACAAATACGTGCTGCTGCCCATGGCTGTGGGCTGCGGAATCACACCCTAACGCTGTGCACTTCCTGGAGGGGTACGGGCAGAAGTTTTGGCATCTTTGGCCCAAAGGATGATGACAGAACCCCATTTTTCTGGTTTGGGTTTTCCTCTTTGTCCAAGCAATAGCATCCAAAATGGCTAAAAGCTGCAAATCTGTTTTTCTGTCTACTTGTGGCCCAGAGTCCATCTCACAGCTGTGGGGGTATCTGTCATGTCAGGCAGTATGCAACAGAGCTTTGGGGAAGGGAGCACAACCTGGTTCCCTCTTGCTGGGATGTGATAGAAAGGGGCTGAAGTGCCATAAGTGGCACATTAAAATAACTCGCATGAGGTGACTGTGCCCATGACAAACTGCTGCTCCTCCAGCTTTGCACTAATGCTAAGAATGGGGGAAATGGGTGGACGTGGCTCAGTGAAATAGTGCTGGGATTGCCTTGGTCAGTCCCGCATAGCATTTTCCCTGCCTATCTTAAAGGCGATGAATCCGAAATGGGGCTTATGGGTCCTTTCCTCCCACTGCTGTAAAAAATGCTACTGAGAGGAATGTCTCATGTGCCAGGGAATTAGCCTGTAACTCAATGTAATTGCCCTTTTCTCTCCTTGATAGCTGGCTCTGAAGCCAGAGCTGATGTGGAAAAAAAACCCTGCCACATTGTATAAAACAGTTTGGCTTGCTTTTATAAATGCTTCCCTTCTTACTGCTCTTTCTGCTTGATATCCTAACTCAGTCACAATGTATTGTTGTTTTCCATGATCACTGCAGTGGTGCTAATATGAGAAATCAAACATTTTTGTCTGCCGTTTCCACACCACTCCTGTAGTGCTGCTTCCCCAGGATTTACTCTGATGCACTTGAACAGCATCTTCTTCCCAGCTCTTGCAGTTTCATCAGCCATCTCGCGCTACTTGATGCCTCTTTTCAGGCCCTAGTTTCTGGATTCAAGTGATTTTCTTGTGTGTGTGTGTGTAATAATATCAGCCTACGCTAAGAAAAAGAAACTTTTTAACCCACTTAGCTGCAAAGGAGAGCCTACTCAGTCATAACCAGACTGAAAAACTGAGTCATAAAAAAACAGACTTAAAAACCCTGGAGTTCAACTGAGATCCTCACATGCATAATTTTTTTAATATCATAAAAATCTCATACATTTTTTAAGCCAATCTTCTGAACTTTGTGAGCTTGATGAATGTTTCATGGAGGTCTGGGAGTGGCGTTATTAAGTGTTAATGAGAATCAACCCTTGATGAACTTACAGCATTTCTCCCAAGAAGAGGAGAGGCTGAGAGGGAGAAAGCTGTGGTGCAAAAAGCTGGGCCCACCCTTCCCAATTTCTGACTGCCCTTAATGCAAACACTTTGTTAGAGAAATCATCCCAGGCTCTGCGCTGAGCCTGAGGCATGCAGGGTCAGGATGTTAGGTGCCAAAAAAGCAATGCAACCATGATAAAAATGCTAAAAGTGCTCAATAGCGGTGAGTGCGAATGTTTTGATGTGGGACACTGCTAGTTCAGTTTAACACAACCCTTCCTTGCTTTAAAGATTGGGTTTATGATCAGTAAATAAAATGAAGAAAACTGACATATGTGCACACAAAGCCACATTCCTCGGCTGAAAATTAAAATCAGAGGAAAAGAAACTAATACAGTAATCTTTGAAAATATGCTTGTTAATGTCTTGGTGACACAGATGCTTTCTCAAAAAATTGTTCTTCATTTTTGTCAATTCTGACAATCACTACACTTTTCCTGACCCCGCAGGATAATCATGTCAAATTCAAATAAATATATCCAAAATGTCCAAACTCAGGCACTTTCTAAAAGTGTGTTTCTGTGTTTTATCACACACTATCTTTTCTGCTGGCTGACCTTTATCATGTAAATGTGAAAGCACTTAACCATAGCAAACGGTGTGCTTTCATCAGGTCATACTCTTTCAATGCGATTAATTCCAGCTCTCCAGTTCTGAAATAGGAGGTGAGAAAGGAGTCCACACATTTAAGCAGCTACAGAGCAAAAGCTGCCATCAGGTACACCCTTTAAATCCAGAGAAAGCCCCGTAGGCTCCAGGATTTGCAGGACTTGAGGAAAGGAGGGTCCCTAGCTGGGAATGGACCGACTTCTTATTTCAACATGGATTCAGCTCCCGAGCGGGAGGTCTGCCTTGGTGGCTCCAGGCGTTCCTCAGCGGAGAGCCGGATGGCTGATCTCACTTGGGAGCATCGCCAGGAGGCTGTGGAGTTTGTTGCCGTAGGGCTGTGCTGCTCCAAGGAAGGGGAAGAATTGAAAAAAGCATCTTTGGTGCTGGAGGCTTGCCTGGCACCCCTCTGCACTGTGCTTTTCCCTGCTGTTCATGGCCTCCTTCCATAAATACACCCAACAGCAAAGCTCTGACGTTAGGCAGGGAGGAAGACTGTGATAACCCGTGCTAGTGAGTGTGCAGGCAGTGAGCATGCACTGGCTGGATGGAGGAAAATGGAAACCTTCTTTTGTTTCAGGACCAGGCTGCCTGTAGCTCAGGCTAGACAGAACCCAGCCAGTGGGACCTTTTCCATAGGCAGGGTGTTCCCAAAGAAAAGATCTGCATTTTCCAGAAATGCTCAGCACCAACAAACCTCCTTGAAATCTATGCAAAATGTGAGGGCTCGGTGCATCTGGGAATCAGTGCAGTGGCACATCCCATCAATCCCAGTGAACTATATCTCACGCATTGATGATGCCTGCTTTTAATCTGAATCTGTCAGATTTTCCCCACTCTTTCATCACCACCATCCTCACCCAGCTTCTCTCATCCACCTGCACGAGCTCCCCACCTCCCAGCCATCACACACGCCAAGCTTTCGTTCCTTGTGTCTTCCCCACTGCTCAGGAAACGAACAACAGAGCTCCAGAGGGGAAAAATTAGCCAGCAAGATGCTCATTAAACAAATAAATTAAAATATATCAGCCCCCAGATGACAGATATTTCTCAACAGAACCAACACAACCCCTGTCGCTGTGTGTTTCCCAGCTGGGTGCATGCCCAGCTGGGGCTCGCTGACATTGCACAGGAGCCATCTTTTCCAGCTGTTATTTTTGTATCACAGGTAGCTCCAATTGCAAATGTATGGGGGAAAGCTGTCTGAATTGCTTTGGGGTACCAGATGGCAGCTATATCGCATCCATGCCATGGTGTAAAATTTTGGCCTCCTAGAAGGTGGGGTAGGCTGGTGCCCCAAGCTCCCCATACAGTGAGGGAGTTGTCACAAAATGCAGGTATGTGGCAAATGGTGCTGACACCCTTTCTGCCACGGCTAAGAAATCTCCTTCTCTTTTAAGGAACGGCTTAAGGAAGCAGAGGACGTCTATAAGGCTGGCATAGAGAATTGTCCAGAGAGCTCCGATCTGCATAACAACTACGGTGTTTTCTTGGTTGATACCGGTAAGTGAGAAGGAACAAAGGATTTTCCCTCTCTGCCTTATTTGCTTTGATTTGTTTTATTCAGCAGTACACATCTAAAAGGGTGTCAAAAGCTTCAAAAGCAATAGATGTGCCTCCACTGTAGCTCGGAACTAAATATCCCCACGCTGCTGTGATGGCACAGCGTACTGAAATTTGTAATCGATGCAGGCACTGTGCGGCCGTGGCATTCAGCCCAGCTGTTTCCTTCAGTATTTCTCACCATCTTCGCACAGGCAGTTGTCCTCTTCAGTTTGAGCTGGGCAGCACCCTGACAATACTGCCGTTTCTCCAGGAAAGCATGGCCAGATCAAACAAAAATCCCAGGCACACAAGTGGATCATTATGGTCTTTGGAGCACTTGCAGCTCTACTTGGTGACAAAGCAGCTCTTTGACTGTAAAGGGTGAGTGCCACCGCTATAAAAACAAACGTGGCTTTTAAACCACAGTCATCTGTGAAAACAAAACGTAAGATACTGTGGGGTGAATTGATTTCTCAGGAGCTCCGTAATGACATCCAAAGCCTTTGTTTTCTGGGCTCCTGGTTCCCATCCAACTTCCCTGGACTCAGGCACTTTCTGGCATCCACATAACGACAAAAAAAAATGCTGCTGTAATTGCCGCCTTTTATTGACAGCTTTATAAGCAAGGCCAAGTTTGACAAGCAACTAGTGGAAACCAAACTACTGTGTCACTCTGGTCCCTCCAGAACAGAGCTGAGACTCAGTGATGAAATATTGTAAGCTTAAAGTGTGTGGTAGCTACCCATTCTGCCCCTTTCACACTGTGCCTGGCTCCAGTGGTGCTTGGGAAGAAGGAACGATGGCTGTCCTACCTCTCAGCCATCGCTCTTCTGTAGTACCAGTGTGAAATAAATACGAAGCCAAAACAAGTATTTGTAATCAAAAAAGGCATCATGGCATTAGTGACAGAGGTTGAGGTTCTGAATTTGTGCCCTGGCAAAATTCAGGCTTGCAAATAACAAAAATTCCTCAGTAATTTCACTCTGACGTTGTGCTCATCTTTGCTTGCCAACCCAGATAAACTGCCCCATTCCTGCCAAAAATTGTGGTTCAAACACAGTGCAGTGCACTTTCTATTTTTTGCACTTGCATATTCTGCCAAAGTCAAAACTAATGTTTCCTGTTCCCTACACACAAACAACAGGAAAAAAACCCACTGACTTTTGATACTTCAGGCATGGTGTGTAAATAACCCTCCTGGAGACATGACGAGGCGTGAAGGAAGTGGCTGATAGTGAGCCCATGACAGGCTGCAGTCTTCCCTGGCAGGCACAAGGAGATGCTGTGAAGCACCACGCCAATTAACTTGCAGGATTTTGTGCAACAAGCCTCCGGCAAGTGCGAGCTCTGGGGAGCCATAACTCTAGAAAGCTCTGCAGTGGTCATAGACACTCAATGTGTCTCTCTTAATGATGTGCATTGCCCCTGTGTGTTGAGCAGGGGAGGCACTGGCTGACTTACGGACTGAGGTGCAAGCCCAGCTGCTGTCCAGGATGTTTTGTAGATATGATTTTCAAAAACATCTGCCTGCTCAGCAGTGGGAGAAGACCGAGAGTGCTGCTGGATGTTTTGAAAAAGTTGTACCCTGAAAGATACGTCGTTGGCCTTGGATGAACCTCAAGTGCTTCTAAATCTCCCTACAGATGTCTCTCCCCACTCCTGTAAAGGAGATGCCGAGAAGCGTCAATGTTAGTTTTATGTTGCATAGATAGTCTCAGGAAAACCAAGCTAGATCTGAAAAGATATGAAAATAAAATTCCCACAGCAGCATATGTTCAGTACCCCAACAGGCACAGGCTGTTTTCAAGGTCTGCTTTCCAGCTAGAAATGGAATTAAATGCATTTTGAAGTGATTTGGCTTAAAAAAATGCCAATACTCAAAACCTTTGTTGGTGGACAAAACTCCATGAGTATCGGTTTTCATCAGGAGATTATTTGGTCTAGAGTGTGTAAACCAATTAAATGAGCACTGGGGTTAAAAATACAATATTTGCATTGCTGAAATGCTGGAACTTTATACTGTGCCCCATTAATTTATTTAGTAGGTAGTCAGCAGGCTCTGCCTGAGGAAAGCACTGCAAGATCCTTCTTGAGGAAAGCCATTATTTAGATACTAAAGAAAAATATACTATTCAGGCTAGGGGTCTGGCATCTTGCTTTTTGCATGGTGTTGTATTTTGTTGTGGTGCTCTGTGATGTCATGGACTGCGGGACCTTGCACTGGTAGACATTTTCGCACAGCGAAGCAGTGCCACCCAATGGCTCCTCTGCAACACAGACATGGTGCCTACGTGCTCCAAAATAGGCACCTGGACACCTCTGGTCTGGGATTTATTGCCCCAAGGTGGGAATTAGCTTGTTACTGGCAGCTACTCCCAGTCTTGTTGAGCAATGCACAGAGATTGAGCAAGGCCAACGCAACAGGGGTGGAGGGAATGGTCTCTGGTTGGAAAGAGCTGAAACTATTTGCAGCTCGGGTGGGGTTGTGGGGAGCACTGGGTGGCTTGTTCTCCGTGTCTCCATTGCCTGTCTCTCCAGTGGGCCAGGGTGGAAGGATGCTCTCCCAGGAGGTGGGATATGCACCCCAGCCACCTCTCTGGAGTGGGCTCTGTCCTTTAGCATGGGGGGGTGCACCCCCCCGCAGCATGATCAGTCAAGAGTCTTCTTCTAGTGACTGTACCTCATCTTGCAGAAACTGACTCCTATTTCTCAGGATCGTCTCTGAATATTGGAGCCTAAATCTTAGTTTGGACAGCAATTTCATTAATCTCGAAAGGCTAAGGCAGGATTTCTTTCTCAAAATGGTTCCCATGCATAGAGCGATAGATGAAAGAAAACCCAGAGCATTACTGCGTGCTGAATTGCAAAATAGTTTTTCTGAGGCACCAGTTTAATGGTTGTTCTTCTCTCCAGGGGCTCCCGAGCGAGCCGTGTCCCACTACAGGCAGGCCATCCGCCTGAGCCCTGCTCACCACGTGGCCATGGTGAACCTGGGCAGGCTTCACCGCTCCCTGGGGCAGAACAAAGAGGCCGAAGCATGGTACAAGCGGTAAGAGTTTGGGATAGGATACAAAGGTTTCCCTCCTCCACCCGTACGGCTTGTCTCTGCTAAAGTGCCTCTGATATGTGAATCTGTCAGTGCATATTTGGGTTTTCCTCCCCTCCTTCTCCATCCATTTGAAACCAGATTTACCTTTGCTTATTTGGCTACTTTTGGGGAGCGCTTGGAGAGGCAGCATGGACTCAGGCAGTGTTGACTTGCCTGGACCCTTCCCAAGCCCTCAGGATGGACACACTGCTGCTTTTGGCTGGGGGGTGCTCTAATGATAAAGTCAGAGGTTTCTTGGTGGCACGAGCAGGTTGTTAGCCTGACTCCAACCCTGCTCGAAGCTGGTCTGCGAGTGCCACACCAGTAACAGCCATAACTGCTGCACAACCCAGCACCAAACCCTTGGTGCCATCAGGAACTCCGGCCCTTCCCAGCAACATAGGCAGGCTCTGACTCCCAGCATCCAGCAGAGTGGACTGGGGGGGTTTTTTGCTTCCTTTTTGGCATCCAGATTTGTGCTCACACTCCCCAGGTTCTGCCACTGTCAGCTGTCCCCACCCCTGCTGCATGCTCACGTGCACTTTGGAGGTGGCCCTCTCCCCTTCCCAGGTGTCCAGAGGGATTGCTGCTGTGGGCACGCTCATCCCTCCCTGGGACCTTAAATCTGTGCTCCCCAGGGTGGGATGAGCAGGGTGCAGAGCTTCGCTGCTCCATCCCGGCACAAGTCACACCTTGCTCTTCTGCTTTGATCCCCACACCACCCAGAAGCATCTCTTGTTCCCAAATTCCAGGGCACTGAAGGTATCACGGAAGGCTGAAATCCTGTCCCCACTGGGGGCTCTGTATTACAACACGGGGCGGTATGAAGAAGCGTTGCAGGTTTACAGAGAAGCGGCATCACTGCAGCCTTCCAACAGAGAGATCCGACTGGCGCTGGTGAGTGTGGGGCGAGCTTGGCCAGGGCAGGGCCATGGAAGTGGAGCACCAGCTGCTGGGTGCAGTATCATGTATTAAGGAGGGTTGAGCCTTTTGAGATCATAACCCTTTATAATGTGGCTCCGTAGGCTCAGGTTTTAGCAATGATGGGACGGACGAAGGAAGCCGAAAAGATGACAAACCATATACTCAACGAGGATGTGGAGTGTCTGGAGTGCTACCGCCTTCTGTCAGCCATCTACAGCAAGCAGGAGCACTATGCCAAGGTACTGTGGCCATGGGGTACCCTTGTCCCAAGGGCTCACACAGAGCTCAGGTCGAATTTTACATTCCATCTCTCAAGAGACATGTCACACGCCTTAGCGCACATCCAGTAGATTTATTTTTTCACTAAAACCTTGTGTTTACCTAGGTACTGGGACTGAAGCTAAGCAGTGTGATTTTCTTACCATTTACTGCTCCTGCTGCTGTCAGCCCCACTGCCCATCAGCCACAGGCATCTAAAAAACTCATTTCCACATGTGTTAACAGCGTGGGGCAAACAAGGGAAGGAGGAAGGTGACTCTTATGCTGGGAGGCCCTAGTGGTGAGGAGAGCATGAGAAGTGGAAAGGTGCAGAATACAGTAACACTACGTCCTCTTGCTTTTTCACAGGCACTTGAAGCTATAGAAAAAGCTCTTCAGCTAAAACCAAAGGATCCAAAAGTCATATCAGAGCTCTTTTTCACTAAAGGAAACCAGCTAAGAGAACAGAATCTCCTTGACAAGGCTTTCGAGGTATGACTGCTCTAAGCCCTATGGATAGTTTTGTAGGTTAAAAGATAAGGGTTAGCTCATTGCCTCTAATACTCCCTGGTGCATGCATCCTGGCTTCTGGCCTTGGGAGCTCAGCAGTTCACCAGTGGTACAGCTAAAGCTATGGGGCAGCTAACTTTGCCAGACTTAGCTGTAACTTTTTCCCTCATTCCTGTGTGGAAATACAGCTCCCTGCTCTGAGAGGTTAAGTACAGAGTTGTGGTGGGACTATGGAGGAGCGTAGGCCTTGTTGCACTGACCAGACCCTTGGTCCATCCAGCCCCAGCCCCTTCACTGGCAATGGCCAACTCCAGGTGGCTCAGCTGAAACCTGTGAGAGCCCACCATGTTGTTCTATCTCACCTCATTACCTAATAGCTGAGAGATTGGCTTATCCTGTGGAGCAGGAGGCTTGATAGCTCAGAAATTATGTTAGTGTTAAATAATAGCACGGAAAATTGTCATTGGGACAGTTCTGAATACTCTTGATACCCCTAGAGATGTCTAATCCCAGTTTGAATCCTTTCCTGCTGTGACACCATAAAAACAGTGTGTTTGACAGAGTCCAGAAGGTCCTTGTTGCTTCTTCTCCCATGCACAGTGGCAGAAGCAGTGGGGGGGATAGCACTGCCCTCAGGTCTGTGTGAGACGTCCGTGTAGGTGGCTGTAGTCTGCTGCCAGCTCCAAAGTAAAGCCTTGCAGATAAGGAGCATCGCAGCCCACACGTGGCTCATTGGGTGGCAGGCACTTGCCCAAGGAAATGACCCTGACGTGCAGGAGAGCCCAGTGGTGCAGGGTGGCAGGGAGAGGGTCTCAGGGGTTGGTGTGACTCCTCATGCGGTGCCATGGGCAGGGAAAACATGCAAGAGGAGCTCAGCGGTGAAGCAGTATGTTATGGCACCTCTGCTGTGAAGAAACCGCAATTCAGCTCGTGCATTGTATAAGAGAAGAATTTGAAATTATTTTTAAATGGATTCAGAGGGAGGGGAAACTTAGGTTCTCTTTCCCCTCCAGTGCTGCTTTTGTTTGAAGACTCAGACTCTTAACATAAAAATGTTTCATATTTATGTAGAGCTATAAACGGGCTGTGGAGCTCAACCCAGACCAAGCACAGGCCTGGATGAATATGGGAGGCATTGAGCACATCAAGGTATGACAATTTTGCTTTTCCTTAAGCTGTCATCTGCAGAGACTACTACTCAGGACAGAAAGCTAAATTTGTTTCAGACTGCCAAGAGCTGCGTGCTTGTGAACAGTGAGTGTCCCTGATGTATTTTATCCAAAAAGGAGGAAAGGTTGTCCACCCCAACTGGAATTTCCCAACCAGGTTGCCAGGTTGCTTGGGAATATGTATCCAATAATGTAAATCCCATATTTGTAAGAGGACAGGCTGCAAGGAACAGCTTGCCTAAGTTTTTCTGCTTCAGTTGTTGACCTGCCTTAGAAAAATGTCACCATGAGTCAACTTTTAAGATTCCTCTGTACCTAATTAATTTAATAAAGATGTCTAATGCAGGATACTGGCATGAAATTATGGAAATAGACAGCCTGTCCTGGGGTTGCTTATCTTTTTGAATACTTTAGCATACCATTATGATTTGGGTCTTAAGGAGACACATTGTGATGTCCTCAAGCTATCCTATCGCTGAGTAAAATGAACTCTTCTGGTACAACATAACAGAAATATGTAAATCTACTTCTTGCCATGCGTGTTGGAACAAATTTAGGCTAACAGCACTCGGTCATCCATTCCATAATGAAGAATTATTCCTGTTACCTAACAATATCAAGGTTTATAAACTCTTCTTCCTTTGTATTACAGTCTTCACCATTTCCAAGGAATGAACTTCCTATGTCAGGGAATGCAAATCAGATCTGTCACTCATTTTCTTTGTAGGGGAGCTACATCACTGCCCGTGGCTACTATGAGAAAGCCTTGCAGCTGGTTCCAAACAGCAAGTTGCTGAAGGAGAATCTGGCCAAACTGGATCGCTTGGAGAAACGGTTTCAAGAAGTCCAGGAGAAAGACCAAACATAGCATTCAGTCACCAGTGGAAACTCACTCATGCCCCTTGGAGAAGAGTATGGTGGAAGCCTATTGCTCAAAGTGATGCTGAAGGAACTTTGATAGGACTCAGAATTACGGAAGGCAAATTTTGAATGCATGCTTATGTTTGACCAAAGTTACAGGAGACATGCTGGAGAATGAATGCAAACCTTCCTTTAATCAAGATTTATGTTTAGGCTGAACCCATTTTAATCACACCAGGAGTGTGGGTGGGACATGTACCTTCAATATCTTGGGTATCACTGGCGAAACCATGGAGACAAAGCACTCACCCATTGCAGCGGGGGGGAAGTAACACCTCCTGTTACTCAACACAGGCTCACCTTGTCCACGTAAAGTACCAATGATGGGCTTCACCGCAAGTGCTGCTAGGTCCTTCTGAGCCAGGAAAGATGGTCATAATGGTCACATAAAAAGGTTTCAATGGGGTTAATGCTGAGGAAATGGTGGCCACTTCTACAGCGCTAAATGTGACTTGAAAATTATTCTAAAGAAAGGGAAGACAGTGTCTGAATATCACCCTAGAAGGATGATTCTGCAAGTAGGACAGATGATCCTTTGAGGGAAAGCCTCAGCTGAATATTTTACTCATAAGATGATAGTAATTTTGTAATAATTCATGATGCCAGTATTGTCAAATATCATATGGCTTTACCCTTTGCCCTCTCCCTCCAGGCCAAATAATTATTACTCTGAAAAAAATGGAAGCATCCAAAGGCAATAGGAATCTCTAGGATTACTTGTCCTCCTGTCCAGTCCCCAGTAAAAAAAACAAACAACCAATCTGATCAATATAGGAGGTAAAGTAAAGCCAGAGAGAGGTTAGGGAAGATTTCCTAGGCTGGAAAAGTACTAAGGAGACTTTTTTATGTGTGTGCAGGGACAAAGCCCATTTATCATGGTGATAACACTGACAAAACACTTTGTCAAAGTGTTCTCGCCCCCTCCCCCAAAAGATACAGAAAATGACCTATTGCAGATCAGTCATAAATCTATATTTTTAAATACTGAAGTGGGAAAACAAATTCTCTTCAGAATTGGGGCTTTTATTTTTGAGCTTTATTTATTTAACTTATAATAATCAAATAATTAATATATTTTCTCTGTTTTATACGAATTGGGCAGTATCCTTCACAGCTGGCCACGTAGCTGGGCGTTGTGACTTGTATTGTCTGAAGTTAGAAAAATGCAATACCATCGAGGTGTGCTTGAATAACTCCCTCTAATGATGTTTCTAAAGCAAATGGCTGCAGAGCACATTGCACCATACTGTCACTGCAGTAACAGCACTTCTGCTGCTTCCACCAGGGTTTGTACCAGTTCACAGAGAGCGATACTGGGATCATGCTTGGTGCCACTGCCTTTGGGTTTGGACGTCAGAGCAGGTCATCAGTTTGTTCCTCTTGCAGCAGGAAACAGCCGTAAAAGTTGTTGTATTTGAGTTTGATTGTGGCCAGTCCCTGCAGAAGAGCAGCCCAGGGTTTGGCATTATTATTAAAGGACAGTTCAGATTAGGTACATGATACCTTCATACACATCTGTCAGGAAAAGCTTGTGTGGCAGCGGCACACATGGCACCCAGGTTTAGTTGGTGCTGGCTACGGCACCTCAGCAAGCTCCAAATTCACTCAGCATGATGGGACAGCTGTGCGCTGGTGGCTCCACTGGCTTCATTTAAAAAGCTCAGTGTCTAGCTGCTACTGGTGGTCAAATTACTGACAAATTATTAAATGACTCCAACTGCATTTGGAGCTCAGAGGCAGTCTGGACTGGTGCAGATGTCTGCCCTGCCACGGCTGGTGGACCTGCTAGAGCCATGGCTGTGTGCCCACCGAGATGAGGCAGGATTTGGGGCATACTGGTCTCCACTGGCCAAGGAGACTGGCCAGTGCCTACAGCTGGGCAGAGGTGGGAGGGAGAGACCACTGGGGGGAGAGGGTGGTGACACACGTTTCTGGGCTCTCCCTTCAAACAAGCTTCCCAAGGGAGCAGCTGGCACCAAAATAAGCAAGTCGTTTGCTGGTGAATTTTCCCTTCTCCCCCCAGCCCAAGCAGCCTACTTTGCTCTCCAGGGTCGAGGGCAGGTTTGAGATCCTGGGGCTGGGTCAGCAACCCTTGTCTTTTCACATGACTTTTATGGCCATGGACTTGCTGACATGACGTTTCTGCAGGTCCCCAGTGCAGGCGCCCCACTGGATGCCATGCATGGAGTGGCTTTGCACAGCCCTGGCACTGGCAGGATGGCCAGGAGGAGATGGGGTCATGCCTGCAGAGTCCCATGGGATGGGGAAACCAAAGCTTAAATGGCCTCTTGAGAGCAGCTGGTTCCCCACTGTACATTGCAAAATTGTAGATGGTTCATTACTGGGGTATTCAGAGGTACCTGGACCATAAAGCTCTCTGCCTCTCCCCAAGGTGAGCCTGCCTTTGGGGCAGCTTCACCAAAGCCCCACGTGCCCAGGCTGGCTGGCTGCCTGCAGTACCGCTGCGTGGCAGCGAGTTTGGGGG